TTTTGGTCTAAGAAGTTTATCAAGAAAATAAATAGTAACGATGATAAGAAATTTTATCTGGACTAGTTGTATTGAAACTAGGAGATTAGTTACCATTTTTTAAAATAAAGTTTATGCTCATGTTAAAGTAGGTGGATTAGGATTAAGACAAATATTCCAAGTAAAAAGTAAAATGAAACAAGTTATGAAATTGTACTAATGACTACATATCTTTTCCTTAATCCTACCCTTTGTTAGTTTTGCTATATATAGTCGAGGTGTTTCAAGTCCGAATATAAGGAGTGTTGTGTTAGGCAGTCAATAGTCAACGTAATGTTTTGTCGAATATCTATGATATGGATTAACTATAAAATAATGTGAATGCTAGATCGTTACCCTTAAGCAACACGCTGTATGGTTCGAGTGTAGTGTCAAAACAACAAGGACTTTTTGCCGCCTAAATGCATTGAAAAATAAGTTAGTTCATAAGAGTATGATTCGTTTTGGATAACGGAATATAGACACACTTACTGGAAAATCTATGAAAATAGTGGACACTATGATTAGAATGAAGATCAATTTTATGTGCCTATAAGATACTAAGTAGGCAGGTGAAAAAGCGAACGAAATAAACAACTCGAAGTTTAAGTTTTGGTACACTGAAAAAGTTAGATCGAGAAATGGGGTGGAGATTATTGTGGATAAGAAGTGAAATAAGAATATCGTGAATGTGAAAAGAGTAGGAGATCGAATCATAGCCTTGCGATTTGTAATGGAACAAGACACTTTTATTGTTATTAGTGCGTACACACCTCATGTTGGCTTAGCATAACACCTTAAGGTAAAGTTTTGAGAGGATTTAGAAAGCTTACTTCAAGATACACCCCAAATAGAGAAGTGTTTTCTAGGAGAGGATCTAAATGGACATGTTAGGAGTGTAAAAAAAAGCTTTCAGAGCGAGCGTGAGGGGTATGGTCTAGAGGAGGTGAATGTAAAGGGTAAATCCACTTGGGATTTTCGTCGACTTTTGATCTTACTATAACAAATATCTGGTTTAGAAAAAGAGATGAGCATCTTATCATATATAAAAGTGGGGTGACATGTTCTCATATAGATTTCTTTCCTATTAGAAAGTCAGATAAAAAGATTTTCTTGGACTGTAAAGTTATTTCGAGAGAGAGTTTGACTATTCAACATAGAGTATTGGTTATGGATGTAAGAATCAAGGGGATAGTAAAGAAAAGAAGTCACATGGGAGCGCCACAGATCGTATGGTAGCATTTGAAGGGTGAAAAACAAGGAAGTTTCCAACGCAAGATCTTAGAGTGAGGGTTTAAACAAACAAAGAAAATGATAATGACATATGGAGAATCAAGAGGTTTTGAATCTAGGGGTAAAGAATCGTGTTGGTGGATTGGTAATGTTCAAAGTAAAATTAGAGTAAAAAAGAATTGCTTTAAAGAATGATATTGGTGTAAAAATGTTGAAACTTGGGAAAAGTATAAGAAAGTTAAAAATGAGACCAAGAAGACAGTGAATGAAGCAAGAAACCAAACTTTTGACGGATTATAAATCTTTAAGAATCATGGAGGGAGAAAAAAAAAATATATATATATATATATATATATATATATATATATATATATATATATATATATATATATATATATATATATATATATATATATATATATATATATATATATATATATATATATATATATATATATATATATATATATATATATATATATATATATATATATATATATATATATATATATATATATATATATATATATATATATATATATATATATATATATATATATATATATATATATATATATATATATATATATATATATATATATATATATATATATATATATATATATATATATATATATATATATATATATATATATATATATATATATATATATATATATATATATATATAAAAGCTTGCTAATGGAAGAGAAAGAAAGACAAGAGATTTGGGTTAAGTGAAATGTGTTAAGAATGAAAAAGGAAAATTCTTGGTTCATGAAAACGATATAAAAGGGTTGGTGGAAGACATATTTTTATAGTTTATTTAATGAAGAATATCATATCTCACTGGCCTCTACTAGGCTCGACATCAGTAATTACTATAGTCAGATTCAGAAACAAGAGCTAAAGGAAATATTGAATAGGATGAGTAACAATAAGGAGGTTGAGCCAAACAATATACCTATTGAAGTATGGAAAATTCTTGGAGATAGAGGTATTGAGTGACTCACCAAACTCTTAAATGAAATCATGAGGTCAAAACAAATGTATGAATGGAAAAGAAACACTTTAGTTGTTGGACTTTCAACTAGGGAGCATTGAACATAATGAGACTTTTTTCTAGAGCAACCTTTGTGAGAGACACACCACATTCTCACCCAAAACCTTAAGGTGATAGGTGTATGGGTTCTCTCACTTATAAATGCTCAAGTCACCATATTTTTACCCAATGTGGAACTATTATCCACCCTACTCACACTTGTTAATACTTAACACTCTCCCTCAAGTGTGAGTCTATCCCAATGCTTTCCCTTAAGCGGAAACTTTAACTGTGCAACTGCACCCTTGTACCGAACCCACGACCTATGGGGATACTTTCGATACAAGTAAGTCGTTCCCTTTATTCGAACCAAAGACTCTGATACCAGATGTTGGAAATTCACCTCACACCCTATGAAGAATTCCGTTCAATCTTGATCTCAAGATTGATGAACAAACGCACTATATGATAATGATGGTAATAACAAGTAATTATTAAGAACAACAAAAGAGAAGAAGAATAACAAACAAGAAAGAGAAGAATGAGAGAAGAAGTATTTGGAGAGAATATGTTACCCACAACTGTGGGATTTCGTATTGCTTATAGAACTTTCACTTGTTAAACACTGCAACTGTGAAATATGTTCTATGTTGTGATCATTTTAACTGTGCAACTGCACCCTTGTACCGAACCCACCGTTCCCTTTATTCGAACCAAAGGCTCATGATACCACTGTTGGACTTTCAACTAGGGAGCATTGAACATAGTGGGACTTTTTTTTCTAGAGCAACTTTTGTGAGAGACACACCACATACTCACCCAAAACCTTAAGGTGATAGGTGTATGAGTTCTCTCACTTATAAATGCTCAAGTCACCACATTTCTATCCAATGTGGGACTATTATCCACCCTACTCACACTTGTTAATACTTAACATTAGTTTCAATCTATAAGAACAAGGAGGGTATATAAAATTATGCAAACTATATGAGGATTAAACTTATGAGTCATACAATGAAGTTATGAGAAAGAGTGATTGAACAGAGACTAAGAAAAGAGAATCAAGTCATAGAGAATCAATTTTTTTATGCATGAAAAGTCGATCATGAAAGCGATTTATCTACTATGACGTGTGATGAAACAATATCTAATAGAATAACAAGACTTACACTTAATTTTTATTGACTTAAAGAATGTGTATGATAGAGACCCTAGAGAGATTTTATGGTTTTATCTCTATAATTTTGTTAAAGTATTATGAGATGTAGTTGAAATTTCTCAATTACTAAAAGTCCATTTCATCTTTATTTTAATTTTATGTAATTTTTTATATTTTTAAAATTTTTATTTTTATTCTGTCGATTTATTTATAATTTGATTTTGTGTTGTAGAATTATACCTTGAGATAACCTTTACACCTAATTATGATTTGAATCCATTGTAACTTATTTTTAGTTGAGAAAATTAGTCAAAGTCAATATACGCGTGTCTTGAATCACAAGTTAACAAGCTTAAAACTAGGTATTTTGAAGTTTGATTTGAATCAAACATATGACTGATTTGAATCAATAATTCATTTGAAATTATAATTTATGTCTCACCTTTAGCACCTATATAAATCATTTTTGTCATTCTCTTTAATAATAATTCAAATTCAAGAGTGAATAGAAGATCTCCTATTATGTTTTTAAAACAATAATCTAATCATATTTTTACAAGTATAGAAAATCTTGAGTGTTCTTCTTTCCAACCTATCTCTCTTGTCAAGCATATCGTAAAATTTCATAGAGTGTTGATTGAGTTAGACTTGTTTAGGCGTTGTGAAAAAACTCACTCTAGAGTTGAAAAAATTATATTCTATTCCGCTCCATTCTGCTCCGCCATGTTCCGTTCCGCTCTGCTCCGTTATGTTCCATCAATCCAAACATAACCTAAATGTGATATTCATCCAATCATAAATTTTATAAAACCCCACTATCTTCCGCTTCCGTATGTAATCTTCATATTTATTTATAGAACTATGATTTCCAAAAAAAAAATATTTTAAAGAATGATTTCTGAGAAATGACCTATTCAATCCCTCTCCAATTCTAGACCATTCAATTTTTAATTTCTCCACTAATATTTGACCTTAAAATCTGTCTTTTAATCATATCTTAAACTTCAAAAGTGGAAGACATAGGCTAAAAATACGGTAAGGGCATGTTAAATGAAATGTGATATAAAAACTTAAATCTATATCTTTTAATGCTTTGTTTTGGTAAGAGTTTTTTTTTGTTTATTAAGAAAAGTTAAGCGTAAGAAAATGAGAGACACATGTTTAATCTTTTTCTTATTTGAAAATGTTATACAAAATTTCTTTAATCCTTCCTCATAATACAATTTAATAAAAGACTTTACATAATCAATCCTATTATAACTAAAAGAAAATGGAGGTGCATTAATAAATATATGGTATAGAAAAAACTGAAAAGCCCAACCTAAAGAAGGTTTTGACCCTTCGATTTCTGTTTTTTCTCCTTCTGTTCTCACTCTTTGAATTCTCGAATACTTGAGATGCTTCTCGAATCATTCAAAACCTCAATATATACCTGAATCTCACTCTACCAATTTTAAAAGGTTTGATTAATATTTCAAAGTTTTGTTCTTGATTCACAAAAATACTGTGTTTTGTGTTTCTGTTTTTTGAATTTGGTGAATCAGTAAAATGGCTAAAGAAGGACCTAATTGGGATGGATTGCTCAAATGGAGTATTGCAAACTCTGATGGAACTCGCCCAAATCGCGAGCTAAGGTATAATCTAATTCAATTTGGGGTTTTTTTGTTTGCCCTAATTTTGTTAAGTTTAGTTAGGTTTTGATAATGATTCAGGATCATACAAAATATCTATTTTTTTTTCTAGTTGTTATGGTAGCTGAAAAAGTGTAGAAATATTCAAATCAAATTTTTATTTTTGATTGAAAAATGGGGTTTATGGTTTAGTTTGAGTGACGGGTATGGATGGGTATGATTTTGTTAGGGTTTTGTGATTCTGGAGCTAGCTTGCATAAAAGTTTTTGTTTTTGTTGTGGTGGTTGTTGAAAAAATCTGTACCTGTAAGTTGGAATTTGTTTGTAAAAGTGATTGGTGTTGAATAATATGAATTAGGGATAGGGTTTGATTTTGTGAGAGCTTAATTTATATCCGCTGACAATGTAAAATAGGTTTTTTTTTATGTATGCATCAATCTAATTACACGATTGTGTCAGTTTGTGGGGAGATATGTTTGGATATGTGTGGTAAAAGATTTGCAGAATGCACCCAAGTTAAATTGTTATGTAATTTATTTATTATGTAGTTTAAAAGGGTAAAAATTATGTTTTTGTGATTGTTGCTTATAAAAATGTGTATCTCATGTGGAATTTTAGTTTGTTTTGGAGTTGGGAGAGAAGGGTTTGGGGAAAGAGAGGATTTATGAATATTTGAACCTAACTAACTGATTAAGAGCGGAATGTTTGATGGTAGATTGGGGAATCATCTTTTAGGGTCTGTGAAGAAAACAGGGTGGGATGATTAACCCCTCCATTGTTCTATTGTCAAAATCCTTCAATTTGGAGAACTTTCCAAAAAAGGAGTTTTAGAGGGTTTTAGGGTTTAGGGTCTACCTTGAAGAAAAACAGGGAGGGATGATTAGCTGGGTTTAGGGTCTACCTTGAAGAAAAACAGGGAGGGATGATTAGCTCTTCCTTTGTTCCATTGTTAAAATCCTTCAATCTGAAGAACCTTCCAAAAAACTGAGTAATCGAGGGTTTTAGGGTTTAGGGTCACCTGTGAAGAAAAACACGGAGGGATGATTCACTCTTCCTTTGTTGCATTGTTAAAATCCTTCAATCTGAAGAACCTTCCAAAAATGGAGTAATTAAGGGTTTTAGAGTGTTTTTAACAGTTTCTAAATTCATTTTGGAAATGCTTTCAAACGAGGGAATTGAAGGGTATTCCATAACCCTTTTTGTTTATTGTAAACAAAAAGTGGTTCTTGTTGTTGTAAATATGTTAGTAGGATTTCTCATGCTTTATCAAATGAAGTGTTACAACATGCTCCTCAATTTGGGGGTTTGCTCATGTGGTAGAGTTTATGTGAAAGCTGTATGTATTTAGTTGAGAACAGTTTGGCCTATTTGAATAAGGAGGAATAGTATGGTTTTCTCTAACCTGAAAGTACATGGCAGATCTGTTTTTGAGTATGTAAACCTTTTGTCCCGGGGATGTCTCATATATTGTGTGAAAGGTTTCAGTTTTAATTTCCATCAATAGTGCATCCACCCTCTTAGATGTTTAGGACTTTCAGATTTTTGGTTGTGGTTGTTTTATTTGGGTTTTGTGTTGTTCTTGTATTGGCTTTTATATGGTTGAATATTGAATCTTGTACCTTTCTGTTTGCGGCACATCTTGTGCAGTAAATAGTTTTCAAGCAAATGCATTTCTTGGCCTTTTCCCAAAATAATATTCATTAGTGAGGGGTTGAACAAGGGTCTGACTTTAATATATATTTTTTTATGATTCTGTAGTGAGGAGGATCGGAAATGGTTTATGGAAGCGATGCAAGCACAGACAGTTGACGTTGTAAAACGTATGAAAGAGATCACACTTGTAATGAAGACTCCTGAGCAAGAATTGGAAAACCAAGGGGTTACCCCTCAAGATATTGAAGGTAGCCTATACACTACAAGATACAAACTTACAGAAAATAAAGTACATTTATTTAAATTAGTATTTTTTTCTTAAATCCTATACTAACTCGGGTGGTTTCTGACATGAATTTTCCACAGATATGTTGGATGAGTTGCAAGATCATGTTGAATCGATTGATATGGCCAATGGTTAGTATTTGGAATGGCTTGAACTTGATTTTGTTGAAGAATATAGGGACACCAATTATTTGACAATCATTATTCTGTACAATTTTTTTATGCGAAGTGTCTGTGGCTGTCGATAATTGGTTGGTTAATGGATTTGTGGTTTCTTTGTTTTAACAACTGAATGTCTCACCTATTTCTTGCTAACTTGTTCTCCAGATCTCCACTCAATTGGTGGCCTGGTTCCTCTTCTTGGTTACCTCAAGAACTCTCATGCCAATATTCGAGCCAAAGCTGCTGATGTTGTGACAACAATAGTCCAAAATAATCCTCGAAGTCAACAACTTGTTATGGAAGCGAATGGCTTTGAACCTCTTGTGTCAAATTTCAGTTCAGATCCTGATGTGAATTCTCGAGCTAAAGCACTGGGTGCACTATCTTGTATGTACTATTTTATTTTTCAATGATATTTTGTTTCTCGGGTTGGAATGATATTGACTTATGTTGGAATGATATTGACTTATATCGACTTATATCTATTTTGGGGAACTTGACAGCACTAATTCGACACAATAAGCCCGGTGTCACTGCATTTCGTCTGGCAAATGGTTATGCAGCTTTAAGAGATGCGCTGAACTCTGAAAATGTTAGATTCCAAAGGTAACTAAGGTTTTCTTCCTGATAATTTTTTATTATACTGATTATTTCAGGGAAAACTCAATTTTAATTTCACAATCGTTTCAGGAAGGCTCTCAACTTGATACATTATTTATTACAAGAAAACAGTTCAGACTGCAACATTGTGAAGGAGCTAGGATTTCCTCGCATAATGATGCACCTTGCTGCCACTAGTGAAGACGTGGATGTCCGCGAGTCTTCTCTCCGAGGCCTTCTCGAACTCGCCCGGGATGCAAAAGACAGCTCTGATAGCTCTTCAGAAGATAATGAAAAAATCAAGCAACTTCTTCAAGAACGAATAAACTGCATCGGTTTAATGTCGGTCGAGGACCTTGAAGCAATCAGGGAGGAAAGGCTACTTGTAGACTCTCTTTGGAGTACATGCTTTGACGAACCGTCTTCACTCCGAGAGAGAGGTCTTCTTGTGCTTCCAGGAGAAGATGCACCTCCTCCTGATGTTGCTAGCAAACACTTTGAGCCTCCTCTTAGAGCCTCTGCTGGAAACCCTAATTCCAAGAAGGATTCCAACAATGAAAAGAAAAAGGCACCTTTGCTTTTAGGGCCATGAACTTAAATTGCAGAAACTAACAATTAAGTTAAATTCAAGTAGAGAAGAAAATGCTGTACCAGATGAAGCATATATGTTTTATATCATGTTATTATTCTTATCTTGATTCTATTTTATAATGCCATTGCAATTTATTTCTTTCGCCATATTTGCTGTGTATTGTGATTTTTCAAGTGCTTGTAGGATGTGAGTGAATTTCATCTTACTAACTAGACTAATCTTTTTTGGTAGCCAATGATATTGGGGTCAAATTATATTTGGTCCTAATATTTGCTTTTTGTCTATAGTTGTGAGTATAAAGTGGTTATAGTTCCACCTTAGTTAGAAATGTCGAGAGGAGAATTTATATACATATTATTTTAAGATTTTAGGTGAATATGCGGTATTATTTTAAGATTTTAGGTGAATATGCGGTGTCTCATTTGTTGTATTGAAAGTACTTTCTATAAGTGGTGGGTATGAGGTGTTATGTAGATGGAAAGAGTCTTGGTATGAGGTGTTATGTAGATGGAAAGAGTTTTTTCTTAAAGGGGAAAATTATAGAAAGATTCACACTTGAGGTGTATGTGGAGGAAAAAAGCTTCTCCTTAAGAGGGAAATATTATAGATAGACTCACATTTGAGGGGGAGTATTTAGTATAGCAAGTATAAGTAGTATGAGTAATAGCCACACATTGGTTAGAAATATGGAAATTTAAGCATTTATAAGGTGGTGAGAATGAGGGGTTCTGTTGAAGAGTGTCAACGACGTACACTTGTACGTGGATGAAAAAAATTTCTATTTAAGTGAGAACATTGTGGATAGACTCGGACTTGAAAATACCACAACAATAGTCATGTTGCAAGTGTTTTTCAATTAAATTGTTACAAGTGAATTTATTTTTTAATTTAACAGTTGAGTTGCTGAAATTCAATAAGATGTTTAAGTTTGAACTCACATTATTATAACTAAATGTTTTTATATACTTGCTAACTGATTTAACAAAATACAAGTGGACTAATCATTGAGAAATAAGAACTTATAAAGTTATATTTTGTTATAGTTATCAAAATATATGCTTTTGATTTGTTTTTATATAATTAATTGTTTTTATATAACTGCTAACTGAACTCATTTAACAAAATTCAAGTGGACTAATTATTTCATAATGCTATGACACTAGATGAGCTCTTTAGTTAGAAAGCGTTTTATTCCAATCGTTTTAACGGAGAAGAATTTTTTTGCTGTTGATGATATTTTTAGAAGAATCTTTAGTTATATCCTATGAGAATCGTGGTATCCACCCCGTTCCCTTTTCATCTTATTTAGAAAAGGGTTTGATATTTTTAGATGTTTTGAATTTTTTATTGAGAAAATGCACTAAATATTGATCAAAGTTTGTTTCTGGTTATGAAAAAGGTTTGAAGTGATTAGATGTTTGAAAATGATTTGAATATGAAGTGAAACGGAGAGGAAATGGTTTGAAGTGGTTTGTCTAGAGAAAAATAACTTGACGTTGTATCAAACTTTATTTTTGTTTTTTTTCAAAAGGGTGAATTTTATATTTTATTTGTTATTTAAATGGTTAATTTGTCTAACTAAAGGCAAGAAAATAAAGACACATAAATGCAAATTACAATCAAAGGGGTGTGGAATATGTTGGTGCAAAGATAGAATAAATGATGAAATAGGAAATATTACTAATAAGAGAATGACGGCTACAAAAAATGACTTTAGGTTACAATGATTGTCACCCTATTTATAAGCTAAAACTAGGGTTACTAGAATAGGATAAATACTAAAATACCCTCTAACAAACTTATGGGCTAAGAAAATAGTACAACTAAATAAATATGAATTATCATTAATATTCTAATACCATCCCTTAATTCATATTCCATCAAAACTTGTGACACCAATTCCATCCCTTAATCTGAGAAATTGATCAGTTTTGATAGCTTTCGTCAGAACATCTGCCAACTGCTTCTGAGTGCTGCAGTGTACAACTTCTAACACTCCACTCTGAACTTGATGTCTCAGAAAATGATACTTGGTCTCAATATGCTTGCTTCTCCCATGCAGCACTGGGTTTCTGGCAAGGTTGATTGCAGACTTGTTGTCAATCATCAACTTCAGAGGTTTGTCTACCTTAATCTTCAGATCCTGCAACAGATTCAGAATCCACACAGCTTGGCATGCAGTAACAGCACCTGCAATGTATTCAGCTTCACAGGTTGACAACGCCACAACAGGTTGCTTCTTGGAACACCAAGAAATGGGACCTCCCAGAAATTTGAACAAGTACCCAGATGTACTTCTTCTGTCAACTCTGTCTCCACACCAATCAGAGTCTGAATAACTCAGAAGTTCTGACTCATTATTTCCTCCAGAGGGAAATAACACTCCATACTTCAGAGTTCCTTTGATATACCTCAGAATCCTGACAGCAGCTTGGTAATGGGACCACTTAGGTTTACTCATGAACCTACTAACCATCCCAACTGAATAGCAAATATCAGGTCTGGTATTGCACAGATACCTCAGAGAACCAACCAACTGTTTGAAGGTTGTAGCATCCACATCCTTTCCTTCAGAGTCTGAATCCAGTTTCTGATTTGTATCAGAAGGTGTGACAGCCATCTTACAATTCTTTAGATCAAATCTCTTCAGAAGTTCTAATTCATACTTGAGCTGATGCAAAATGATACCTTTCTCAGAATATCTGAACTCCATCCCTAGAAAGTATGTCATTTTGCCTAGATCAGTCATTTCAAATTCATTCATCAGAACCTTCTTGAACTTGGCTATCTCATGTTCAGAACTTCCAGTCAATAGTATATCATCAACATATAAACATACCAGAGTCATATTGCCTTCAGAAGTATGCTGAACATAGACACCGTACTCCATCTCACATTTCTGAAAGCCTTGCTTCTTGAAAAATGAATCAATCTTCTGATTCCAAGCTCTGGGCGCTTGTTTCAATCCATATAGAGCTTTGTATAATCTGTACACCATCCCTTCCTGATTCTTTTTCACAAATCCAGGAGGTTGTGACACGTAAACTTCTTCTTCTAATGGACCATTCAGAAATGCAGATTTTACATCTAAATGCATCAGAGGCCAATTCCTGTTAGCAGCTATTGCAATCACCATTCTGATTGTTTCATGTCTTGCTACAGGTGCAAACACTTCAGAATAATCCAGCCCAGGTTTCTGTAGAAATCCTCTGGCTACCAACCTTGCTTTATGTTTGCCAATTGAACCATCTGGCTTTAACTTCTGCTTGAAAACCCATCTGACGCTGATGGCTTTCTTGTCTTTTGGAAGTTCTGTCAGCTTCCAAGTCTTGTTTCTCTCTATAGCATCAAGTTCTTCTTTCATGGCCTTCAGCCAGAGCTTCTGCTTAAGAGCCTCCTCTGTACTTATAGGTTCAGAGTCTACTAACATGGCACACTGAATAACTTCTCCTTCAGAGTCTACTTCAGTGTCTTGCAGCATGTCAAATTCTGCAAATCTTCTGGGAACGCTTCTGATTCTTTGTGGTCTCTGAACTTGTTCAGAGTCTTGAGCTTCAGAGTTTCTAGCTTCAGATGATTGACCTCCAGAGCTTTGACCATCTTCAGAGTCTGGCATATTTCCAGAGTCTGAATTGCCACCAAGATCTGGATTGCCATCAGAGTCTGAATCATCAGAGTCTGGGTCATCAGAGTCACCTTCATCTTCTGAGTCATCTTCAGAGTTTGAATCAGTATCAGAGTCAGAGTCAACGTCAGGGTTTACTTCAACTTCAGAAATTCTTAACTCTGACCTTTCTTCAGAGGTTCTAACATCAGAATCAGATTGAGACTTATCCCAATTCCAAACTTCTGATTCCTTCACAATCACATCTCTGCTGAATTCAATTTTATTGGTTTCTGGACAATAGAGCTTGTATGCACCTGTACTGTGGTACCCTATCAGAATCATCACTTTGCTTCTATCATCCAGCTTCTGTCTTCTGGCTTCTGGAACATGTTTATAGCAAACAGAACCAAATACCTTCAGATGACTAACACTTTGCTTGTCTCCAGTCCACTTCTGCATAGGAACTATTTCCTTCAACTTCTTCGTAGGACATCTGTTGAGTACATACGTTGCAGTGGCAACAGCTTCTCCCCAGAGCTTCTGAGGAAGCTTCTTCTCCTTTAGCATGCTTCTCACCATATCAAGCAAAGTACGGTTTCTTCTTTCAGCAAGACCATTGTGTTGAGGGGTATAAGGAGCAGTAACCTCATGCTCAATTCCATTCTCCTCACAGAACTTCTGGAACTCTTTGGAGTTATATTCACCTCCACCATCAGTTCTAAGAATCTTCAACTTCTGACCACTCTGATTCTCAGCCTTCATTCTGAACTTCTTGAATTCATCAAACACCTCGTGTTTGAACTTAATAAGGGATACCCATGTCATTCTTGTGAATTCATCAACAAACAACACAAAGTATTTATTCCCTCCAATTGATGCTACTGGAAATGGACCACACACATCAGAGTGTACAACTCCCAAGGCATGTTTTGCTCTTGGAGCAACTTCTGATGCAAATGGCAATCTTGGTTGTTTTCCTTCCATGCAAACTTTGCATGACTTTTCAGGCTTCTTAATTGCAGGAATTCCATGTACCAATTTCTTTGAATTCAGATGTTGTAAGCTTCTGAAATTCAAATGACCAAATCTTCTGTGCCACAGCTCACTCTCCTTCTCAGTACTTGTTGCACTAAGACACTCTGAGTCTGCAGTTCTGACATTCACCTTGAATGTTCTATTCCTTCCCTGTTCTGACTCCATAATCAACTTCTGATTACAGTCATACAGCTTCAGAAGATTGTCCTTCATGGTAACTGAGAAACCTTTCTCAATTAATTGTCCCACACTCATCAGATTGCTTCTGATGCCAGGTACATACCACACATTCTGAATCAATGCAATTTTCCCATTGTTCAGAGTCACTCTGACATTTCCCATACCTTCTGCATTAAGA